ATCTTGCAGGGCTCTCCCTCTATGTGCACGGTCAGGTAGATCTTATGGGTAGGCTTGGTCAGGGAAGCATGGCTGATAGCCAATTCAGGGTGCTCCTGGTCACCTGCGATGGCAAAGCAGTCTTTGTGGCGTTTGGGCAGTCTTTTTTTGTATTGTTTAGACAAGGCACGCTCGGGAGGTGGTTCAGAGATAGGCATGGCCATGCTGCAGACCTTGACTAAATGTCCTTTCCTGTTACAACGACGGCATATTGCGGCTTTGAACCTGCAAACTGACCTTGCATGGTTCCCGCCACAACTCAGGCAGCCCGCCTGAGGTAAAAAATCAGCCTGAGTCCATTTTTTTCTGGTGGCTAGTTTTAGGTGGCTAATCTCTTTTTCCTCGTCAGAGAAGTCTTTTTCATTGTCTTCTTCATAATGGACAGCATGGCCTCTGGTGGCATGGGTGGCCAGTGGCAGAAATCTCTGAATTTCTGCGATGGATTTGTCTGATATTTCATATGCCGTGGCTTCATCCACGGCTGCCTGAAGGCTCAGCCCTTTTCATGCCAGCAAGCATCGCTGAAGTCTGAGGTCTTTGATACCACAAATCAGCTGTTCTAACAGGGCATCGTCCAGTACAGGAAAGTCACAGCGCAGGGCCGCTGTTCTGAGGGAAGCCATGTAGTCGCTCACAGATTCCCCTTCTCTCTGGATTCTCTGCCTAAAAGCATAACGTCTGGCTATGCGTGAGGGAGTTGGAGAGTAATGTTTTTTAAGTTTCTCCAAAAGAGGCTCCCAAGGCATTGAATGGATGGATTGAGGTGCTGCTAAAGCCCTAGCCATTCCAAACATCTCGTGTCCACATGCGCTGAGGAAATATCCTCTTTTACGGCCACTGGACAAACTGGTGCAGTCGTTTGCCTCCAGGAAACACTCAAACTGCTCGAGGTAGGCGTCTCATGTTGCAGTGGCTGGGCTGAATGCCGTGAATGCCAGTAGACTAGCTATCCTTAGAAGGACAGAAACTGAGGAGTTAGCCTTGGAGTGACGTCTTGTCGCCTATGACTTGAGGCAACTCTTATTAGTGACTTTGCTTTTCCTTTACCTCAGACCTGATCACCAGTGTTCTGTATGGAGAACGAGGTAGGCAGGAACTGAGGCAAGGCAGATTGAAGCTAACACAACCTTTATTAACAGTTTAGCAAGGCAAAATGTAAGGCAAACCTCGAACTGGCAAACCGCAACATTTGCCAGGTGACAGCCCTTTTATACCAGAGCTGTCAGACGCTGAACCAATAGAATGGCTGCATTCTCCTGCCAGGTGGCTGCTCGCATCTTAACCACTCAGGAGCTGGCAATGATAGTCCATGGCGTCGTAGCCTTGAGGACTTAACAATAACAGTCACTTCTAATTTAACAATAACTTAAAGAGGAACAGATGCAAAGAAGGGGCAAAGCCTTAAGTTCAAACTATAGAAGTCAGACATGAAATATGAAGATGATTGTTAAGGGCCAAAATATGAAGATGATTGCTAAGGCCACAGGCAACAAATATTCATGGGCCTCACCTATGTCTTCAAGATGGGAGCGTGAGGAAGAGGGCAAAAAAAAAGTGTTGAAATCAATTACCATACCACCTAATTCAGATTTGCTTTGCTATACACCAGAGGTGGGTTGCTCCCAGTTTGGCCCGGATTGGGTGAACTGGTAGTAATGGAGGCTCTGCCCACTCACCCAGATGCTTCTGCGCATGTGCAGAAGCATTGTGCATGAGTGTGCCCAAATCAATAGTAAAAAAACCCACCACTGCTATACACTATTCCAGTTCTTTATGTCTGATATGTTTTATCAAATTAAATAAAAGCATGGGACAAGATACAGGCTAATTTGAAAGTACTTTGTTCCTTAGCCTGGAATGAAAAGGCGGCACTATGATCAGAATTGGACATCTAATCAAGCTAGGGTTTTCTGTTAGGTTATATATAGAGAGGTCTTGATATATTTTTTTGATTAAAGTTTTCTATTTTTCCATTTTCATAACATATAATCACATGTATACTATTACATAACCAACATCATATTGTATTATTAAATGTTTACATCAATTCATCTT